AGACAATTCCGTGTACTTCCATTCCAATTATATGAGGAAACTAATACACTTTTATAAGAAAAAACAATAAGTCTCAAAGTCTGTCGACCACGAAAAAATATTTAATAATAGTAGTGTGTAACTAGTTTCGGTCACAGGCCATCATCAGACACAAAATTGTTGTATTCAAAGTACCTAAAAGATATAATGAACATGGTTACGGAGTCAAAAAGAGAGTCAAAGAGTTGGTTGTGCGTTTCTATCAAAATGAAAAGGCTTCATGAAATATTGTTCGTTGTTTCTTGATTTTTATCTTTCAAATCACGAATTCCTACCTACCGAAGCTTTTGAATGTTTCGAAATTTGCAGTAAATATGAATTCACTATTTTTCCTTTCCAACGCTAAAAATAAAAAAAGTTAAGCCATTTTTGTTGATTTGGAATGGGGTGATTCTTTGCATATGGAGGTTCGAAAGCATGTAGAAGAAGAATATGAAGTTAGTTTTCTTGCAAAATAATTCCTAAATTGATTTCATAAAAATCGACCCCTTGTATTTCAATAAAAAGCACGGTACTGTCCAAAATTATGTTTGTCTTTGAAAACCTGATCTTATTTATGGTTATTCATCCTTTTTTTATGTTCTGGTTCCCACGAAAAGGGATATCCTGTAATGTTCAGAGAACATCGTGAGAACCAAAGGAAATAAGGAAGGAATTGGTGTTCTTTTTAAATTTCTGGAGGTTATATGCCTCGGGGAACACCTCCCTTGGAAATGTGTTCCAGAGCCTCGCTGTTCGTTGGATGAACAAGTCTTTGGAAAGAGATGTTCTGCAGGTCTCCAAAGTGACCACGAAGGGGTGCGAAGCCTCAACTCGACGAGTTAATCTCGCGGGGACTGCCAAGGGATGAACAATTGTTGATATTTCAGAAGAGCATCGTCCATGGAAATATCTATAAAATAGAGCCAGATCGCCAACATTTCCACGGTGTTCCAGAGAAGTGAGTGAGTTTGAGAGCGAGGCATCACCCACGAGACGACTTGCCCTTTTTTGGACAGAATCCAACAGTTTCAGGGGATTTTTGGGTGCTGCACTCCAAATATGGAATCAGTATTCCAGGACAGGTCGAATCTGTGCTTTATAGATCATAAGCAGCTGACTGGAAGTGAAATAGCTCCTGACCCAAATCAGAAAACCAAGATTTTAGGATGCACTTTTAGCAATTGATCTCACGTGATTTTCCCAAGAAAAGTTATTGTTGATAGTAATACCTGACAAGCTTATGTTTGGCACAGTGACATCGGCTTTTCTAGAGAAAAGGCATGCTTGTGTTTTGTTTGCATTGAAATCTACCAAGTTATTGGATCCCTATTCGAGAATTGTTGCCAAGTCCATGTTTATGTTGTCAACATTTCTCCCTCGTTCGATTCTGATTTGCCTGGCTGGTATTGGAGCCTTAGAAGAGAAGGCGGTATGGAGGGTACTATCATCCGCGAAGCAGTGTACTAGACATGAAGTTGCTTTCAAGAAATCGTTGATATGGAGTAAAAATTGTGTTGGTGCTAGAATTGATCCTTGCGGGACACCAGCATTTATGATAAGAGAGTCAGATGAAACTCCGTCGACCACTACATGGAGAGACCTGTTTGAGAGAAAACTAGCTAGCAGAGAACAGAGCTGGGGAGGCAAGCCATAATATGGAAGCTTGGCGAGGAGTCCGTGGTGACTCGATCGAATGCTTTGGAGATATCAAGTGCCACAGCTAAGGTTTCACCATGTTTCTCAATAGATTGCTCCCATATATGTGAGACGTAAGCGAGCAGGTCACCAGTTGATCTCTGAAGACGGAAGCCATATTGCCTATCGTTGATAATACCTGAATGTATGTATTTCATGAGCTCGATGTTGATAGCTTGCTCCATGATCTTTGAAATAATAGATAGCAGTGCGATCGGTCTGTAGTTGCTAGGTTGGGTATTTTTGCTTTTTTTAGGAACTGGTTCTACTCTTGTAATTTTCCAGTTGGACGGGAATATTCCCGATTTGTAAGAGTAGTTGAACAACTTGCAGAGAGCAGGTGTTAGTTTGGGAGCACATTTCTTGAGAACAATCGGTGGGATTCCGTCGGAGCAACAAGCTTTGTTGGTGTTGAGACCCAATGAAATCTTCCTTATAGTACGTTGGCGAAAGGTGATCTCGGGCATATGACTGTCAATTGGCGTTTCGTTTGGAGGTTGTTTTCCCGATGAATCCAGAGTGGATGCGCAAACATGTTGGCTTTCTCCTGGGCAGTTGTGGCTAGTGTTCCATCTTCCTTGATTAGAGGAGGAGGATGTCCCAATTCGGTACGAATCGCACGACTACTAGCTGAGGTCACGATATAGAGGGGGGCCGTTTGACATGAACACGCTGTAGAATCGTTAATATTGGATATTTTTTCATGAAACTAAAATCGCTAATATGCGGTCTGGATTTTTCAGCCTCTGAATGTGATCTAGAATGTCTTGGTTTTTGGAAAAAGTGGATGCCGGTTAGCTCCATAATACACCTTTCCTCCTTCTACATTTAAAAAAAAAATCGTGAAAATCGCTCCATAAATAAAAAAAAATCATGGTGACCTGCTTGCAAATGGGTCACTCTGTATACAGGGTGGGCCACCAGTAACGCCTCGGTCTCTAGAAGGCTAACCACTTATCTTCTTGGAATTCTTCCTCTCTAGGAAGTTGCATGTCAACATAGGCTACCATTTGAAATTATTTTGAAACATACAGAATGTCCCCAAAAATCACAAAACACTGAAGTTGAACTTTTTTCAATCGAACACTCTATATATTATTTCATTTTGAGATTCTCCCTGGTGAGCTGATTTCAACAATCCATCATACTTGGGGTCTAGCAGTTATAATTACTGAGATATAGGGTGTGAGAAATCGAGATTTTCCAAGTTCAAGAATTTTTTGTGTCTAAACCATTCATAATTGGCAAAACGGCTCAAATGTCCCTATCTCAACTTTTGATCAACTATCTACTGACATTTAATTGAAACAAATACAGGGTGGTGCAGAATTCAGAATCTTGATCACCCGGTATATGTCCCAATTAAATATCAGTAGATAGTTAATCAAAAGTTGAGATAGGGACATGTAAGCCGTTTTGACCAATTATGAATAGTTTCGACACAAAAAATTCTTGAACTTGGAAAATCTCGATTTTTCACACCCTTCATTTCAGTAATTATAACTGCTAGACCCCAAGTATGATGGGTCGTTGAAATCAGCTCACCAGGGAGAATCTCAAAATGAAATAATATATAGGGTGTTCGATAGAAAAAAGTTTAACTTCAGTGTTTTATGGTTTTTGGGGACACCCTGTATGTTTCGAAATAATTTTAAATGGTAGCCTATGTTGACATGCAACTTCCTAGAGAGGAAGAATTCCAAGAAGATAAGTGGTTAGCCTTCTAGAGACCGAAGCGTTACTGGTGGCCCACCCTGTATAGTTGGAGATACAAAAATAAGGTGACCTTTTATTGGCATGGTTCGTTCGAAATGAAAGTGAATATGACCTGGAAACTTGCATACAGGGTGTACTAATTACTTCCCTACCCAACTAGCATTTATAGTCGCGATTACGTAATTACGACTATTGGGTCGACTATTAAGTAATATTTACTAGTTGCGGTTACGTTATAATTACGTCGTTACTACGTATTTACGACCAAAATGGGGAACAAATCACGAGTAATTATTACGGTTTGCCGACGTAGCGGGAACTCACACAATTACGTAATGCTTACGACCCGTCGACGTCGAAATTACGTAAAGATGTAGTAAATTTTCCTACCTGACTTTCTATTTCTTTTCCACTTCATAAAAATATTATTTTCTCTCTTTATTATTCTTCATTTCATCCATGAAGTTCACATTCACGAAAAATGAACAAGTCCAATATGCCTAACCATTCAATAAATAATACAAGGACAAACACGCGAAATAATTGATACTCGAACTTGAAAAATTCGAACAACATTCAGTTTTTCGATAAATGTGATGATTTTGCCTCGAAATTCAAGATGCGCCCACAAAATACGGCTCATTTCACCAAAAATATGGTTTTATTTCATTCGGCTATTTTTCAAAAATCATCGTAAATCATGTTAATTTCCATTATTATGCAATTTGTGATCGAACGAATGCTATTATTCTTCATAAAATGATGTTTATCAACAAGAAAAACCAAAATTATTTCCTGTTCAAATGGTTATCACATCAATCAATATGGCTTCCAATCGAAAATGAATCAGAAAGTTACTTTTGGAACTCGTCAGTTATGATAACCTATGTATTGGTAACTTCAACTGAATATAATTACCGAAAAGTTGTTTCAACTATGAAGGAATTGTTTGAGTAGGAATTACCAATATGTTACTTGAAATATCACCAAGAATTGACTAAATTATTAGGTGATCGATCAAGTAACGACAACGTCGTAGAAACCTAATTGGTGACCATAGAGTAATTGCAACTGTGAAGCCTTCATGGGGTGGTAAGCGTTACCGTAATAATATATCCAAAGTTCCGAAACCTTAAGAGTAGTTTTGAGGAGTGACAGTTTCGAAATAGTTACTTCGTAATAAGCCATGAGAATTTCTCACTTTGAAGTTATTATCTAGTGTAAGAACTACGTAATTTTCACTCACTAAATAACTATCACTGACATTTATACTATGAAGTTCTGAAATAAGTGATAAATACGTTATTATCACTAAATATAGGTAATAGTTTCTTGAACCATGGTGCCTGTGACTGAAAATGCTAGTTGGGTACCTAGACCTATTACCTCGAACGAAAAATCCTGAATTTTCTGAGAGAAATCCGGCAACGCCGCTATGGCTCTCGCTCAAAACACGTGGTGCTGGAAACCACGGATTCGAATGTTGCCGACGATGCCGCTTGTAAAATTATTGTAAGTTTCCGTGGCGAGGTGATCGTTCAAAAGTGAAAGAAAAATAAGGCCTGCGAATGAAAGTGGATCGTGTTTTTCTGTGATAGACGCGAAAATGTGCAAGACCAGCGAACCGCGGGATTTGGAAACTCTCATGGGTTATTTAGGTGAGATATTGAGAAATTCGCATGTTCGTTTTTGCTTTTTTATTTGCTTATTATTATGATTATACCTATATTATCTGACCGATATCAAGTGTTCGATAACTTCGGTGGTCTGTTTATACAAATTCACTGGCGCACTAGGATATAATTATGTACAGTGTCATTCATAAAAAGTTGGCAATCTAATGGGAAAAGCATTTAAAAATAATTTATTTTGAAATAATAGACTTGTGCGTCAAGTTTTGCTTCAAAAATGATGAAAAATTGCCTACTGGGTTGGAGTCGCTTAACTTTTGCTACATATGTCAAAAGTTACATTTTTTCAAATTAATCGCTGCTGAAACTACATAGGCTATACAGGGTGTCCGGAAATTATGTGCAAAAAATCAAGGGGGTGATTCTGAATGAGGAAACATTAAATGTATTTCATATATTCGTGGGTCCGGAAATGCATAGTTTTCAAGATACAGAGTGTAAATCTTTTCAGAACGAATCGGTTTTTTATGGATATCTCAAATATCGTTCCGCCGATTTTCTTGAAATTTGGCAATGATATTTTTTGTCATGAGGACCTGAATTAGTCATAATTGAATTGAAATTCAGTGGCGTCCCGAGGGGGCACCCTACCGAATATCATTGTCAAGAAAATGTGCGCTACTGATTTCTTTGAATTCTATATCTCCATATCCTATTGACCAACTAAAAATACAACATTTTGGTCTTTTCACATGTTTTGATATTTTGCTTCGTTTTCGTGGAAAAAAATTAATACCAATTCATTGTATACATTTGTCTCGACATTTGTGCATATCGAGGTGCATATAGCCAGGAAAGTAGTTGTTTTCTGTTGAATAAACCGAGAAAGGTTCAATATTTTCAGCATATGGAGAAAGCTAATTCTCAATGTATTTCTTTATATATACAGTGTGTCCCACTTACCATGCTCACCATGGCGTCTTTTTAACGGTGAGAGATACGAGGTCGGTTAAATGACACCAAATGTGGAGGTTGTCAAGGCCAACTATAATTTGAAAAAATATTTTGATATAATCTATTCGTTTTATACGCAAAAAACAGATTTTGATCAATTTCATGTCTCCTCCGTAACTTCTTTATTTATGAAAATATTCAAATAGGAATTCCACATTCTCATCGCAGTTTTCCAAAGTGATTTCGAAAAAAATATGAAATTCATACCAACTCTTCTAGAATTTGAGATATCAGCACCAACTTTAGTTTTTCAAATTTAGGTCATAGCAGCTCACTATGACTTAATAACTTTTTTTTAATAACAGATGATATGTCACAGTAATAGTTTTGTGTTGATAACAACGGAGTTATCGTCATTTATACAAAAACAAAAATTATTTGGAAGCCGCCATCTTGAATTTATAAATTTTAACAAAAAAATCATGATCTCCGACCTCAAAAACCCCCACTTACCAATTTTGAATAGAATCGGACCAAATCTTGTCCACAATACATTATGGAATTTTTGTTGAAATTGGAAAAATGGCTGCTCCAAGATGGCAAGATATGCTAGGACACGCGGTATATATAGTCAATGATAGCATGATGTTCCTGTTGACTGTTGGTTATCAACAAGCGTTAAAATGAATGTTACATATTGAATGGTAATCAAAATAACTATATAGCGATGAAAATAACAATATCATGTTACGATTAAATGGATTGTTTTTTTCCTACTACTGCTATGAAAAGTACAGCATTTCTCATAGCTTACTTAGTTTCAAAACCATGTACTGCTCATACTGTAAGAAATATTTTTTTTCTGTGACGGGAAAAAAGTTTGGCATTTCATCTCTGTTGGCAGGTTATAAAATGTCACTTTTCATAAATTACTTTTTTCCCGTGGGAAAAAAGTGAGTACTTTTTTTCCGGATGTATATCACATATATTACACTGTTGATGGCTTTTGTTGTGCTATAAATCCGAAAAGTGAATCAATAATACCGTTTCCGAGAAAGAACTGCAAGTCCTTTTATCTTCCATTCGACTTCGCGGTTACGTATATTTCTAAACAGCCACTAAATTCGCAATTTTTTGAAATCAAATCACAGAATTAGACTGACAGATATATCAGATATTTGATTACTTCAAAAGAATGATGAAGATGCCTACAACGCAGGTGTCCCTATACTGTTAAAAACTTAAAATTTCACGTCGATAATTTTCAGATTTAAAAATAATGTAATATCTTCTCAATATTGATTCGTCCTTTCTTCTATCATAGAAAAAAATAGTGTATTATACCACGGGAGAAATATTAGATTTTTTCTGCAACCGACACAAAAATCGTCCATTTTGATACCAAAATTAGCTCTTAAATTGACGTTTCTATTACTGACACAAAAATAGGTATGTTGCTAAGCAACATATTTAGTTCCTAGGAGCAAAAGTTGAATTTTAGTTCCTAGGAGCTAAAGTTGAATTTTAGTTCCTAGGAGCTAAAGGTGAACTTTAGCTCCTAGGAACTAAAAATGATGTACTGGAAGTCATCAAGAATAAACAACATTGTGACGGTTGGTTATCTGGGTTGAGACGCATACCTGATTTGTTTCCGATTTCAGCAGATTTGGCAATTCATACCCATGCTGGAGATATAAATACACCTTATTATAATTTAGTATTGGAATTATAAACATCTCAGTCAAGTATTTTTGTTTTGATCAGGGAAGCCTTCAAGATTCAAATACTTGCTGGATATGTATTTCATTCGATATTCTCGAGACGGATAACTTGTTTTTGAATAATCACGGCAAGCCATAGTTTTTTTGTCTCAAACAACGATTTGTTTAGCTTCATTTGATTATCAAACACAGTATAGTATGGAGAGGAATAAATAATCACTATTATCATTGTTGATATGCTCACTAACCTAACATTTTCCACGTCTTGTTCCTATAGCTGGCTCTAGCGCGGTGTTTGCCAATAGAGCACCTGGTCCATACACAAATATTTCACTCTGTGGTGGTATTTATATTATAGGTTTGTTCGCGTTCGAAAAATAAACAGTCAGAAACCATCAGAAGCATGCGCAATTCCACGGAACTTGAAAAATTCCTACTGTTTTGTAAAATTGCGCATGCTCCTGATGGTTTCGGAAGGTTTATATCTTGAACGCGAACAAGCCTATTGAAACTACAATTCGAACATCCTAGAAAACCTAACCTGCTGTTTTGCATTGCATACATATGGCACGGCATTGGTGGTTACTTCAAATGTTTATTTGAGTTAATTGTTTCGGTTGCAGAAAAAATAGCATGTTTCATTCGGATCAAAAGTGACTTTGTTCGACTCGCAAATTTTGCTTTCGCTCGGCTTCGCTAAACGCTCCGCCTCGCAAATGCAAAATTCGCTTGTCAAACAAAGTGTCACTTTTGATCCTAATAAAACAATCTACTATTAGCTCAAGGTTTTTTGTCTCCCTCCGCTACACGTCGGGAGACAACACAACCTGGAGCTAAAATCTATTACTTTTTTCCCTTGTATAATAAATAACTATTTCTCACGGCTTTTTGTCAACACCACATACATTTCCATGGCGAATCAACAAAAATCGACCAAAACTCTATTGGCTGCTGTTCAGCTTTGAATAGTTGTCACAACTGTCAGAAGAAGCCCTTCAGGCTCGTGCCACAAACTTTCACACTCGTGAGAAAAGTTGAACTTTCCCCACTTGTTGCACAATATACTATTTTTGAGCACATTCAGAATATGTTGTATGTAATGTGTTCTCAAAATGAATGTCAAAATCCCTAGAGAAGAGATATATTCTTGACTTCAAAGTGAAAAATGAATAATAGGTAATAATGGTATATTACATGAATAATATTCCAGTTAAACGTGAATTTAAAATAGCATTTCATGAATGTTGGAAAAGGAGCAAAACTTGACATCAATGTACCACGTGAGACTAATCATAAACCAATTAGAAGCCGTATAAACTAACTCTGTCTCACCTTCATAAAACCGATGAATTGAAGATTGAGAAGAACGAAAACCCAAATCGGATAGTTTTAATGTACAGGGGATCCAAATGGTTGTACATCAATATATGGAAATTCGTGAACTTTATTATTCCAAACCTAAAGTAATACAAAAGTACACCATGAGAGTCAAAAATATTTTAGAGCCCCCCTCCCTCTCAGGGGAGGACAAGATAGATTTTTCGAACCATGAAACACGTGTTTTTTTCATTTTTTCAGGATTACATGACCATATTATTTATTTTTTTACAGTAGATTTGCAAAGTGCAATTTTTTGTTCTCGGCTTCAAAATCCTCTGTACTTTAAAAATTAGGAAGTTTAAGACGGTTAAACCGCCTTGTATAAGAATATCGATCAATGATAATAGATAACCAAATGACCTGTATAACAGTATAACGGTAAACATAGAGTGTTTCACTGATGATAAAGTTTTTAGTACGTTCGTTAAACTATTACCAAACAGAATTCGGCTAGTCCAAAAATAAACAAAGTAGGGTAAATAAGGGAACAGACTAGTTTATTTTCAAAAATAGTTTCGCCGCCTTGAGCTAATTAGACCGATAGAAATTTTGAAACAATCAGATCCCAGACAGCACAAAGTGATTCTGAGAACGTTCTTAGGATATTCTCGTGGGATATTTCGGATATTCTCACAAGGTGCGCTGAATGTTCTGAGAATATTCTGAGAACATGCAAACGGGGCGAAAATTCACGTTCCAAAAACGATCTCATAATATTTTTCAGAACATTCTATGAATATATTGAACATCCTCAGAATGATCTAAGAATATTCTCGGTATAGAGGGTGATTTAAAGCGCATGGGAAATATGAGGGATCGATAATAGGAGGAAAATATACGAAGAAAAATTTGTTAAACGCAGTGACATTTTGGGGCAAATCATCTGATTTGTCCCACAACAAATATATTGAAATTATACGCATATTTTTATTTTACAGAAACGAGGAGAGAAAATCACAAAAAATGAAGTAA